TCTGGTGAGGTCCATGTATATAGCTGCTGCTTATGTTGTTGAAAAAAAAAGGTATTTGCAATGAATAAATCATTGGTCTGGCAAAATTCTATCATGTGATCTCCAGCATCACTTCTATCACCAAGGACACATTTTCCAACTATTGATGCTGCTTCTTTGTTTCCAACTTTCACAGTCCAGTCCCCAGTAATTATCAATACATCTTGAATGCACGTTTGGTCAATTTCAGACTGCGTAAGTTGGTAAAAATGTTCAATTTCTTCAATTTTTGCTTTGGTGGTTTGTGCTTAAATATGAGTAATAGTGTATTAACTGGTCTTCCTTATAGATATATGGATATTATCCTATTATTGACAGTATTTATTGTACTTCAGGATAGATCTTGAAATGTTCTTTTTGATAATGAATGCAACACCATTCCTCTTCAATTTGTCATTCCTGGCATAGTAGATCATATGATTTTCAGATTCATAATGGCCAATACCAGTCCATTTCAGCTCACTAAATGCCTTGTTGATTTTTATGCATTCCATTTCATTTTTGACAACTTCCAATTTTCCTAGATTCATACTCCATGTGTTCCAGGTTCTGATTATCAATGAATGTCTGCAGCTGTTTCTTCCAATTTTGAGCTGTGCCCCATCAGCAAATGAAGGTCCTGAAAGCTTTAGTCCATCTACATCATTTAGGCTGACTCTACTTTGAGAAGGTAGCTCTTCCCCAGTCATATTTTGAGTGCCTTCCAAGCTGAGGGGCTCATCTTCTGGCACTGTACTAGACAATGTTTTGGGGCTCTTCATAAAGTTTTCCAGTAATATATCAGTGTTTCACTGCTATTCATAAGGTTTTCACTGGCCAATTTTTTCAAAAGTAGATGGCCCATTCTTCATCCCAGTCTGTCTTAGTCTGGAAGTTCTGCTGAAACTTGTCCACCATGGATGACCCTTCTGGTATTTGAAATACTGGTAGCATAGCCTCCAGCCTCACAGAAACATGCAAGCCACCACAGTATGACAAACTGAGAGATGATTGGTGGCAAATGTCTGAGGGGGAGGGAGAAAATATCTGAAGGGCTGTGTGCAGTCACTCACCAGGTATCTGGCATGAACACCAAGTTTCAAAACCATTGCTCTAGAGCCCACTACTCAGGGAATGGGTCAGAGGTGAGCAGTGTCACTTGGAAGCCAGAATCTTGGCCTGCCCACTTGAACTACTGAGTCATAATCTGCTTCTAACAAGGTACCCTGCTGATGCACATACACATTAAAGTTAGGGAAACACTGATCTACAGCACTAGTTCTCAACTTGGTTGCACACTGGGATCAACTGTGCTACTTTAAAAAATTGCTGTAGAGACAGCTCAGGGGGGAGGATTGCATGGAGGGATGGACACAGGGAAGAGGTAACTATCAGGAGGAAGTGGAAGGGGAGCTGTTGACTGGAGTAAATTGTAGTCAATGTCATGAGACAAAGTGTATATGAACTGTTGTGTGGAAAATGAATTTAATCTGTAAATTTTCACCCAAATTACAATTAAAAAAAAAATGACTCTGGTCTGAGTCCTACCCCAGCAACATGCAAGCCACCACAGTATGAAAACTGAGAGATGATTGGTGGCAAATATCTGAGGGGGAGGGAGAAAATATCTGAGCATAGGTTGGGCATCTGGATCATTAAAAGCTCTCCAGGTGGCTCTAATGTGCAGCCAAGGTTGAAACCACAGCTTATATTTTATAGCTATATATATCCTTGAAAAGGGAAATCAATTGAATGGATTTTGAAACCTATTGAATGCACAATAATCTGAAAGGCAAAGTTCCTTTTGATTTGAAAGTGCAGGATCCCAGATGGGGGGTAAAAAAAAAGTGTGTTTGTTTTTAAACTACAAGAAGAATTGGCTTGGAAAAAATCACAAGGCAAATCCTAGAAGATTAGAACTTAAAACCACTCAACTCATTGCCTTCAAGTATGGATTCTGACTCATAAGTGACCCTATAGGACAGAGTAGAACTGCCCCATAGGGTGTCCAAGGCTGTAAATCTTTATGGAAGCTGACTGCCTCATCTTTCTCTGTGGAGCAGCTTGTGGGTTCAAATCACCGAACTTCTGGTTAGTAGTCCCAGTGCTTTAACTGCAGCACCACCAGAGAATTTGTTGTTGTTGTTGGATGTCATCGAATTAGCTCTGGCTCATAGAGATCCTATGCACAACAGAATGAAACACTGCCTGGTCCTGCACCAGCCTCACAATCCTTGCTATACCTGAGCCCATCATTGCAGCCACTGTGTCAATCCATCTCTTTGAGGGCCTTCCCCTTTTGTGCTGATGCTTAGAACTTAGACCAGAAGAAACCAACACAGGACAAAGAGGAAATGTGGAACTTTTGAGCAGAGGACAAGGCACAGACCATGGAATTAGCCACAGAAGCTTGAGCAACATGTCAAATACCATGAAGGAATAAGCCAGAGACCAATGACAACAGAAGACAGCACTTGGGCCATATGTTCCTTTCTCAGTTCTGGACAACAGGCATACCCATTTCTACTCCACCCCTGGGGAGAGTAGCTACAGAGGGAGGTGGAAGAGAATCTTGCATTCATATGGCTATTTACCCAGACGAGACTAAGTCTGAATCAAGAAGTAACTGGATGATGAAGGTTTTTAACCATCGTGGATATGGAGGCTTGAAAGCTAAACTGAACTCATTCCTAGAGAAATAAGGAAAATTACATGACTGATTCCCATATTGAGTCTATAAATTGCAAATCCACTATACTAGTCAACAGAATCTAATCACCTGCCTATATGGCAGTTTTCCTCTCCATAAGTCCTTTGAGACTTGGTATCAAGCAAGATGAAAAAGCTTCTTAGTATACATTCATTTTTACAAAAGGAGGATCATGGGGAAATGTACAGGACTATGAATCAGAAAGCATCAATGTTTCCATTTGAGAGGCAATCCTGGGCAGCACCCAGGACTACTAACTAGGAGGCTCAGATGAGGACTGCATACCTCAAGACCACCTTGAGGAATAAGAATTCATTCACCTCAGCTATATTAACAGTCCTGGTGAGTAAAGAACATTTATTATAGAGACAGATGAATACAGTGCATTCATCTCACTGGTTATTATAAATTGGATCTGCATTAGTAGACAGAGTTGTTGTTGTAGTTGTTATTATGTGCTGTTAAGTCGGACCTGACTCATAGCAACCCCTCCTTGGGTTTCCAAGGCAGTATCACTATGGAAGTAGATTGCGCCATCTTCCCTCCAAGGAGTGGCTGGTGGGTTTGAACCGCCAGTCTTCTGGTTAGCAGTCAAGTGCCTTAGGCACAGAGTTATGGAATAGTAAATGGTTCCAAATGATCTTTTCGCAATTGTTAAGAAGCAGTGAAAAAGGCATACTTAAAAGACAATCAATCACTAATGTACTGACTACAGCTTTTCTTTTCCTGACTACTTCCCTCCTCTTTATTTCCTCCCTAAAGGGAATATTCCTTGAGAGAAAAGTTGTTTTTTTATTTCTCTCCTTGCTAGCCCTTATTTGGGACATGTTTCTCCTTCAAAGGAAGTAGATGGACAGTTTGTTTGATCAATACATCCTTTACCCGCTGGAAGGCAAAGCCTTTCTGTCAAGTTCCCTGGTTTTATGGGAAGAAAAAGGAAGACTATGGAAGCTGTAATGAATAGCAATAACTTTCTAAGTGAACTATTTATCTAAAATTGCAACTCAGGAGTTGAGTTTCACTAATCACCCCCAACACATTTTGGGAAGAAAAACATAAGGCACCTAGGTTTTTGAATGATTTAAAATTAAGACATACAACATGTAAGAGAACACTCCAACCCCTTTCCCTACCCTCCACCACACACACAAAAAAAAAATCTAAGCATCATTGATAAGACTAGAATAATATAATAAAAAAATTAATTTAATTAAATACTCTTGAAACTGCCACAAGTAGAAAGTATTAAGTATACAATATAATACCAAATCTGCATTTGGCCCACTACAATGTCTATGTTAGTGTCAGGAGAGGTTTCTGGCAAATGTGTAAGAATATATTGTGGTATAATAATCCTAGAGGAAAAGAGAAAGCCAAAGAATTGAATTCAGTGATGTATATTTAGGCAGTCAGCTTACTGGCATGCTGACCCAAACCAGAAAAAGCTCTACAGTGGAAAATACCCAATTAGGGGAGCGAGTGGTAGAGGGAGACAAGGTTCTAATAAACAGTTTAAATTGTCAGTTAACTATTAATGATTTCTAATTATTTGTTGAAACCATCTTAAAATAACCAACATAAAAATGAAAATTGAACCATAAAACCAAGAAGTCAAATGTTCTCTGCCAAAAATTACTAAAGTAATTATTTAAGACAAATAAGCATTTGCATATAGCATGCACAAAATATGTTATCTATTTGTACTTTATGGATTTCCAGGAGTCCTAAATGTGAATTTGATAATTAACAATAGTTTAAGATTCCTATCCTGAACCACCTTTTATTTTGTTCCACTTTAAAACATCTTTGGAAAACCCTAAACTATCACTGGAAAACCTGTGTACTATAAAAACGTGAGCTTTATGACAGATATATTGAGATTCTTAAGTAATAGGAATTATAAACTCAAAAGGGAATTATAGGGTTAAACTAAATTGCTCTGGAAAGGTATCTGGTACAATTGCCTTCGTCAGTGGAGACCAAGTTACTAAGAGGGTTCACATGAAAACCTCTGCTGCAAAGTTGACAAGTTTTATGTTCAATATAGCTTTTTAAGCTACCTTGCCTTTCTTATGTTGTCTCGTGGCAGGAAAGGGAGTGTTTGTTTTGTCTGTCTTCAAAATCTAATGAAAAAAGTCATGCTGGAACCATATACAAAAACCTGTGCCATGTTTCAACTTGACCTTCACCTTCATGAGGGAACTGCTCACACAGGATGCATTTTCCAGAGAATGGAAGGAGCTTCTCCTGTGGGAGTAAAAGAATACCTTACCTGGGTAATCATTCTTGTCTATGTCTGAATCTCCTCTTAAAGTAAAACCAAATCCTGAAGGGATAGCCTGTGAGGCCCAAGCTCCTTGAAGAATTTGGGAAGCCTTGGGGTTTAAGCCGTCCTTGTTTCCATTGTAAATGAACACTTTGCCTCGTTGATCCTTGCTTGCAAAGGGTGCACCAATTGCAATGTCTATAAAGAGAAACATATAAAAAAATCTTTTTTTTAAATAAGGAAGACTGTTTTAGAGACAGAATTAAATACAATAAAAGATCAATGTCACAAAGTCCAAAGGGCTTATTGAATTTTCTGTAACAATTATGTAATACTATATTGCAGCAACTCTCTGGTGGCATAGTGCCTAAGGCATTTGACAGCTCACCAGAAGGCTGGTGGTTCAAACCCACCAGCCACTCCTCGGAAGGAAGATTGGCAATCTACTTCCATAGGGATACCACCTCGGAAACCCAAGGAGGAGTAGCTATGAGTCAGAGCCCACTTGATGGCAGTGAGTTTGGTAGTTTCGTTTTTTTTTTTTT